TCTCATAGCTCAACGGAAAGAAAATGTCATTCGTGACATGATGTCTGGCCGCAGTGAATCAGCACTGAGAGGCCCTAAAGTAACCTTGACCCTTAACCCTGTTGCACAGTAATGCAAAGCCAACCTTTTGTTGGAATTCATACTGAAGGAAGGTCATTTAATGGCTGTGAAAACCCACCTACATGCAAAGAACTGCAGTGACATCAATGTCAATGTCAAAATGGCCCCTGGAGAGATAATCAACTAAAAGTGCGGGATCTTGCCGCATCCCATGATGCCTTTGGCTGACGAGGCCTGAAATGGGCTCTCTGGGCTTCCGTACACAAAGCTGAACTTGACTGGTTTTCATCGTCTGCTGGGCAGCCGCTGGGTCACGGCTCTCAGGATGCTTCACTGAGGACAGTGTTTCCATGCTAAATCTCAGTGATAAACGTCTCCTGTTCTCCATGTCTTCCTGTGATAAACGTCTCCTGTTCTCCGTGTCTTCCTGTACGTTTAGACTCATTTATGTCAGAATCGCAGCACCTGTCTGCCTTTGTCACCCCACGTTCTGCACAAATGGTCGCTGTAAATGCTGTTCTAGTGCTTGGCTTATGCAGCTTATGAGGGAAGGTTGATCCCCAAATTGTCACTGGTCTGATGGCAGGGACAGTTGACAGCCAGGCGGTTACAGATGGGGAGCACGTCTTTATCTGTGCAGACTCTGTGTCGATCGCGCCAGCACGTTTCAGCGGTTTGTGCCCTGGGTAATTATTCATGGTTCTCCGCGTCTCTGGGGTTAGATTACTTATGTCAGCAGCGATAATGGACGACCCGCCGTTCACACCAGCGGTGCATCTTCATTAGTGCCCTGACAGGGGCGCTCTCACATCAGCTGCATCTTCTCTCAGCCTTAGGGTCATGTGCTGGTGACCTCAAGGCTTGTTTTTGTCCCCAGGAAAACAGAGCAAGAATTGATCCTGGTTTATTGGTATGGATTTTGTGAGGGTCTTTTATCGCCCGTGTGGTATTCCCTGGAATCCGTTCCTGGCTTCCTTACCGTGATCCGTTCGTTCCCCCGAGGAATCTCCAGCTCACCCCCGGAGAATGAGCCGATGCTGGTTCTGATGCCCCTGGGGAATCAAACCAATGAAACGGGAAGCGTGCGCATTTCACACCGGTCCCGACCTGTTTTTGGTAATTAAATGCGCCGAGGGAGAGTTCTGCCTCCCCCCACACAAACGTTTCTCATTCGTACAGACGTGTGCCGTCAGGCTGCCAAGCGTGTTGGCATCGCCCCCCCCCCCCGCCCACCCGCGCAAACAGAGAGCGTGAATAGGCCCTCTTTCAGATAATTAAGGGAGGGAATCGCAGCGATTTCTCCTCCGATAGGATCTGGCTGACATTTTTGTGAAGGATGATATGAGCTGACTTCCCGGGTTCCATTCCGCGTCGGAAAGCCCGGGAACGGGCCAGCGGGCTGACTGCTACAATGCTATTAGCATTTATATAGCGCTTTGTGTGCTCATTCACCTCTGAGGAAGAAAGATTTTCCATTCAGCGGCTCCAGTTAATCAATCCAATTCAGGGGAACACGCACCTAAATAGCTAGAATAAATAAACCCGCAGTGCTGCGCTGCGTACTGAGTCCGAGACCAACTCTTAGTCTGGTTTTGGGGATCGTTGTGAATGCAGTATTCCGGAATGTTCATCCCCTTTGCTCGGCTCGCCGCAGCCACCCTGAGGAGTCCCGAACCTGTGCCTGAGCTTATGGGGAATGATACGGACATGCGAGAGCCGCCCTGACCTGACGGGACGCTAATGTGACTCTACGTCACGTCGTCTCCCTAATGCTGGGTTCATTGTTCATCCACATGGTTTGTTCCGTAATTATTCCCGAGGTGTGAATGTGGTCAAGTTCTGCAAATCACAGGTGAAATGATCTTAGTCGTCGCTCTGGGTGAATCCCGCTGTCTTCTGGCCAGTGCGAAAATGCAGCTGGGGAAACCTTTCCAGCTTGAAAGCCTGTTGTTGTTGTTGGTGTTGTGTTGTGATTCATCGTTATGCTCATTTATGCTGATTTTCCTTGTTGCTGGGGCCTTCAGAAGACAGGGTTTATGATGGTGTAATGGGGGGGGGGGGTGTGAGTATGTGCCTCTTTGAGCAGAACTCTTTCCCCCAGACTTTTCTGATGATGCCTTTTCACATACGACAGGAAGCTCGCTTCCCCCCTTCCAAGGAGTCACAGCAGCTGCTCCCTTAGAGGATCGCGGCTCACAGTTCGGTTCCCCCTGGCCGCCCTAAACCCCCGAGAGCCTGATATTCCTAAAAATGAGAGGGAGCATCATGTCGGGTGCGATCAGTTACTGCGGGAAGCGACTGCGCAGGCTGGAGGTCCTTTAACTTTGTAAACAGAGGATAGCTGGAGGGTGGCGTGAGACCGGCTCGTTGGCGACGAACGCTGGCGATGGACGCCGGCGCGTGCCGGCAGCCGCCGTGAGGCAGCGTCGATAATCAGAGAGCATTTGTGGACTCCAGACTCCAGCGTGACGGGTGGCAGACAGATGAATGCCAAATTAGCACCGTATAAAACAAGCAGTGCTCGTAATATTTCTGCGTAATTGGTCTCCCAGACTGCCAGAGACGAAATGGCATGTTTGTAATGACATTCAATTTCTCACAGTGCAATATGCTGCTTCTGATAGCTTGGCTGCAGTCCTGTTGGCGCCATCAGGGGGCGCTGTGTCCTCCCCCATCATCCGTCCCAAGGGCAGCACGGCGTCTCCTGGAGTCTCTGCATTTACGCCCCCCCCCCGTCTGCCGTCGGTCATGGATGCCGGTGATATATTTCCTGTGTGTCTTGAATGTACCTGAAGGTCAGAGAGAAACACCCTTTTGCACCGGCGTCATTGCATGTTGCACATGTGCCTTCTCATGCTGCACAGCTGCCTGTCAGAGGGGCTCGGTATTCTTCCTAACGCTCATTGCCCACACTCTGTGCCTTCAGGCAGGTGTCTAATACTCCCACCGCGCTCCATGCCAGCGACAGCACGGGTGGCTGCTCTGCTCAGAGCCGCAGCCAGCTCACCCCAGGCTGCGGGCCGCAGCTTCAAGGTGCTGAGTGTAGCTGCACCAAGAAGATGGCAGCACAGGATGACGCCCTCTACAGGGCAGTTGTGCTGGTAATGCATCTATAGCGACCACAAAGTATTTAGCAATGGCCTGAAACGACAAGGTGTGAGGCCTCAGAATGGGAGATCATCCCAAGTTGGCATAAACTGTTGACCCCTTGGTGTTTAAGCACCGTCCAGAAAATTGCAATCATCATTCATATTTATTACCTCCATTCAAAAGCCTCTTTGAGGTCACCCTAACTCTAACCCTAGTATCCTTCCAGTTGATGTGCCTGTATTGTTCATATCCCTTCTGTCTCTCTCTTCATTGCTTTGAGATCGTAAGAGACAGTAAGCACCATCCATCACGACCACTTTTGCTTGACATGTAGCGTCCGCCTGATGTTAACCCGTGAAATGGCTGCCAAGAGGGGCGAGCCACTTTCTGAGCTGCCGTGAAGGACAGGACAGAGAGATGGGGACCTCCTCACTGAACTGAACTGAACTGGACTGAACTGATCGAACTGAATCGAATCGAATTGAATCAAATTGAATTGAAGCTTTTCTAGCCATTTGCGCAGGTGGTACATTGGGCTCCTTGCATGGGAGCAATCCTTGCTCGAGGTTCAAAGACAACAACCAAGACTATGACATACAGAAAGATGCATTCAGGAGCATTATGACATTAAATAAATAAAAAGATACACAAGGGGCTTGAGTGGTGCCATGAATAAGGTACCTTGAGTGGTTGGGGTGGGGGGTGATTTAAGAGTCTAGTTTCACCTTAACATTTGGTGGGATGGGGGTACTTATTCACACATCCTGAATGTCCTTAGCAACCAGCCTGATCGCTGCTCTCAGATCAGTTGAAAGCCCCAAAAGAGCAGCACCCCATCTGTGTTCCTGGGGCCAAGGTCCCGCGTCCCGCGGCTCATCTGCCCGGGCTGTCCAGGTGGCATATCGGCTTGGTAGCACATGCCGCCTCCGCTTCTGATCTCAGGTCAGGTTGTAGCACTTCAGACGGTCGTCTGTCCAGGCGTTTCCTCGAGCTCAGCTCCGTGGTTGGTGGTGGTAGTGGGGGGTTTGGGCACACGCAGCCCACCTCGCCCTGCCATGGGCTCTCTTCTGGTACTTTCTGGGTGGTGCTGGAAGCTGACCTGAGTGACATGCTGAAGACCAGCTTCCAGTCTGGCTCGGGGGCCATTGGTGGACTGAAGACTAGACGGAAGACTTTTATCGGGGATGTTTTTAAAAAGCCTTCAGCTTTATTTGCAGTCGGCGAGCCTCCGGGGAGCGCTGTTAAACAAAGGCAGCGAGCGGCGGGGGGGGCGGGAGCGAGCTGTACAGGGAGCTCAGGGAGGTGCGTGTCAGGGAAAACTCACAAGCTGTGAATCGTAACAAAAAGAAAGTAATTGCTGAGCTTTTTGCTGGCTTAACCATTATATATTTATATCTAAAAAAAAAAATAAAAGGAGCGGACATGATAAAGAAGGCCCCTAGTGGCCCGCCCCTGCTTTTCCTCGCCACGCTGAGTCGCCCTATCGCGGCCCGGTAAGTCTGATTCCTGCCGTTTCAGGCCGTGTGTCACCAGCACGAGGGGTCTGGTCACCGTCACCTAATCTAATCATACCAAAATTTTATTATAGCACATACTGAAAATGACAAAGGTCGACCAAAGTACCGTGCAAAACCAAACGAAACTGAAACAAATAGGAATAACATCAAAAACAATAAAAGTTGAAAAGCAAACAAACAAATTAACAAAATAAGTGAAAGATAGATGCTCGTACTAATCAACAGCGAGGGTTTCAAATGATGTGCAAATCTAATGTGGGGGGGGGGTTAAGGTATCGTACAGCTTCTTTCCTCAAACCTTGTACCTCCCCCCACCCCCCTCCCCCTCTGCAGCTGCATTCGGACGTGGACGACGGCGAAGGCAAAGTGAAGTACGTCCTGTCCGGTGAGGGTGCCGGCTCCATCTTCACCATCGACGAGAACACGGGTGACATCCACGCCACCAAGCGGCTCGACCGCGAGGAACAGGCCTACTACACCCTGCGGGCCCAGGCCGTGGACCGGGCCACCGACCGGCCCGTGGAGCCCGAGTCCGAGTTCATCATCAAGGTCCAGGACATCAACGACAACGAGCCCAAGTTCCTGGACGGGCCCTACACCGCCGGCGTGCCCGAGATGTCCCCCGTTGGTGAGTGGACAGCGAGAGCCGGGGGGTGGGCGGCCTTGTGTGGAGGAGGGTAACGTAAAAGAACGATGGCAGAGCGAAGGGAGTCACATGGATCAGCGCCTGGATCGCAGGGTGGCCTCTGATAGGATGCGGCGATAGGAACCAGGAAGGATGGGGGATTGTATACCAGAACATTTCATTAGACTTTGTCCATCCCCCCAAAAAATATACCTCTATAGTCAGATTTTGAAATGCTGACCCCCTCCAGTAACAAACACTGTTCTGTGTCCTTGACGTGATGTTACACAGGTATTAGTACCTAAGCCAGCCTTGCAGTCAGCCCTCCCCATGCAGGGGGTCGGGGTCATGCTGGAAGCGGAACACCTCGTTTCACTGCATTTCTGTCCCTATCATACTGCACAGTGAAACGTTTAAAAACAAATACACATTGGGACACTTTATCCCCGTAAAGTCCTGGAACAGGCTAAACTTACGTATCATGATGGCGCCGCTTGACAGCATGATATAAACAAACAAACGGAAGCTATGGAACCGAAGGGGAGCTTAAATGTCCCGCCTACAAGAGACGGGGTGGTTCGGGAAGTTTCTGGTTCTGGAAATGCTCCCAGTCTGAAGCAAAGAGCGAGGGCGTGAAGATCGAGAATGAGCATAGGTGTACGGTGATCAACCGGCGGCGAGCTTCTTTACCGTCATTTAGAAGTAGCTTTTTATGGTGGAATGAATGGCACTGAATAGGACTGAGCCTGTAAATAGACAGTGGAAAATGGCTTTAACAGTAATATTAAATGGGAAAATCTCTAGCCAGATAGAGAGTCATCGTAATGGCTTGCATAATAGAAACATCAATAGACACGGAGGATGCACTATGGTTATTTATTCTGTGCATTAGTCAGTGACAGTGCTGTAGACCGACCATTCTGAGAGGGACGTACACAGGATGTTACTTTGTTCCGTGGTGTCCGTGGTAAAATCATGCTGTTCAAAGTAACTTTTTTAAAGTAGCAGGAGCCCAGATGTAAACAGTCAGAATGGAGGGTCATCCTGCTTTGAAGAATTAACTCCATGGCATTTTATTTTAAGTTGTCTGTCATATTGATGTAGTTCTTGTTGCTGGAAGGAAAAGAGGAGGATCAGTCTGATGCGTTATAGCAGCTCTGCCCTCTTTAGATGCTCAGATTAATTCAGCGATTACCCAGGATTACATTTTACCAAAAATACCAATCGGCACCCCCCGTGCTACTAAATGAGAGATGAATTACTGTCGCGCTCTTTGCCAGCGTCTCTAGAAGGTGTTTTATAACCATGAGTTGGAGGACGAGCAGGGCAACGCAGTGGTTGTTTTATAGATGTGTCTTAAATTATTAACAGGCAAAGACCTGAATGATAAATGTGTTCAATTAGGAGCAAATTATGGGTTTAACGAGGTCATTAGGAGCGGAGCTGACAGGTAAACGTGAAGACCGCGTGGCCTAAAAACTGCAGATATCCAATGAGGTTATGACACAGGCATTGCCTTTGGATTCCTAGAGCAGCCCAAATCTACCCAAGAGTCTGACAGTTATAACTTGTGAGCTCTATTTCCAGCAGCTTTAGTTTGTACCCAAAGACCTGGATTTAAACATCTCTAATGCTCTTCAAGCTGTGCTGAATTTTAACTCCAACATCTCATGACTCTGCTCAGCTATTGAGGCCTTAACTAAAGACTGATTTTTTTTTTTTGCCAGTTTGCAGGTTATTCTCGAGCGATAAAATGGCCGCAGTGAAAACACTCTGTTCGCAGCGCGGTCGTGTTAATGATGAGGTGAGCACATACTCACTCACTCTACGGGCCACACGCGGGCACTCGGAACGTCAGCGAAACGCAGTGTCCCCTTTAGAATATTCACACACAAGGTTTATACGTTACCTGCATCTGGTTAAACCGGTTAATTCCACTTAAAGACAGAGAAAAGGGGGTGTTTTAATCAAGCTTTTTAAGGAGCACCCCATTCTTTAAAAGACCAGTAAATGCGGGTCGCACGGCACACAAAGAACTCTTCATAAGCACTTTGCCATTAAAGTAAAATCTCCCCCGAGTGGGTTGGCACTTCTCTTTATATGCCCAGGGTACGGAAACGCTGAGGGGGCCGTACTTCTTCTCAGAAGAAATGTTGTAATATTCCGATACTATTTATGTGATCATTTTATACTGAAAAGGTTTGCGCATTATGAAATCCCATCCACCCCGATAACGGTCTCCTTCTATAATCTGTCTTCTTAAATTAGCCCTTAAACAGACAGCAGATAGCAGATAGGCCGGCTCCTGTCACGCATGTCGATTCAGTCAGCCGCTAGTTTAGGCTCGCCCCGGTGACCTCCGTCACAAGGACTGGGAAGACGATAGCAGAACAGATGTGTGTGATAGTTAAGTCGCCTTTTGAATCGTATCGGTTTTTTAAAATCGGAGAAGTTTTGCCTTGGATTCTCATACAGATCAGATATGAAAAGCCAACATTTTACGCATCCCGAGTACCGATCATGTTTAAAATCAGTCCCTGCGAGGGTGAATGTGATCATCATCATAAAGAAAACAAATCGCTTTTAATGAGTGAATGAACAAGGAAATGCAGGCGATAATTGCTCCATAAAACCAGACGGGTGAATTACCATGACCGTTGAAAGCGGATATCTGCTCAAAAAGAGCAGCGTCTGGATGGGAATGCAGGTCACAGGGTCTTGAATACGCTGCGGTATGAAAGCTGCTTACACATCACATCTCCAGCTTTTAACCTTATATGGACTTCCAGTGTGTACGGAAAAAAAAAATCTTTTTTTGTGAACCTTTGATTGAATTATTCATTAGCTGCCTACTAAATTCCACAGATTACATTCAGATTGCAACCAAATTTCATCAGTGGTGATTGAGTGTCAAGTTATGGGTTTTAAAAATAAAAGCTTTTTATGGAAAAGAAGGAGCCAGAAATTACGAAGAGGAAACGCCAAACAACCTTGGGAATTCATGGTGAAATTTGCCGTCAAGCGAAACTGCTCCCGTCTAATTCATGGCTGCTGTGTGTTGTGTGTGTACATTGACTGAACATATTTGTGTAATTAACCCACTTTGGGGCACTTTGCTGCTAAAACAACCGTGTGAATAGTTTTTGCATATGCCCTTTGGTTTCTACCATTAAACGAGAATTTACATGATTGGCTAATTTTCTGCGTTGACAGCTTGATTTAGCAAATCTTCAGCGCTGACATTTCAGCTGTTTTTAATAGAATTAATTGTACGAGAAGTCAGCCGTGCTGAATAGTGCTCATTTGGGTCAAGCCTTAATCCGCGTGGCGCTCGGTGGAAACGTGACTTTTAAAACTCAGCTATTCTGCTGAGGCGAAGCATCCGCAAACAGCTGCGTTTCACAGGTGTGAGTTTATCGCACCGCACAGAGTGACAACGGCGTCTCTCCTCAGGAACCTCAGTGGTTCAGGTGGCAGCGACAGACGCCGATGACCCCACGTATGGAAACAGTGCCAGAGTGGTCTACAGCATCCTGGAGGGGCAGCCCTATTTCTCAGTGGAGCCAAAAACAGGTACAATAAAACAACACTCATTAAACGACTTGACTGAAGCATAATTTGTCTCTGTTAATTATGTTCTGCTTTTAAAAACTTCTGAAGAAATGTACCAATTTGTCGGAGCAGAATTCATTATTATTGGTTAATTAGTCATTTAAAATGTTCTTTCATCCACCAAGGACAGCTGGGATTGATGTCTATGTTCACCAAACATAGACCATTTATGCTAAAGGTCATCAGATAGGGATTTGTCCCTATTTAAGGCCTTAGTCCCTTCTGGATATCTAGATGCTTCTCCAGCAGGTATATCCAGGTCTGTTTATATGCTTCTCCAGCAGGTATCTCTAGGTCTGTTTATATGCTTCTCCAGCAGGTATCTCTAGGTCTGTTTAGATGATTCTCCAACAAGTATCTCCAGTTCTGTTTAGATGGTTCTCTAGCATGTCTATTTAGATCAGGGGTGGGCAATCTTATCCACAAAGGGCTAATTTGCACGCAGGCTTTTGGGATAACCATTAGGTCAGTTGTTCAAACCCATGTGTGATGACTCTTCAGCCAATCAGCCCTCTAATTAGTAATCTAATTAGGGAGGTGCGGTGAAAACCCGCATACACAGTGGGCTTTCAGGATAAGATTGGCCACCCCTGGTGTGGATGTTTCTCCCTCAGGTGTCTACAGGTCTGTTTAGATCAGAGGTCTCCAGTAGCTACTATCCAGTAGGTTTTCTATCATATCTGGCTTCTGATGAGCCACTCCTGTTCTCAGGTAAATACCAGGAACAGGTGTGGCTCATCAGAAGCCAAGTGGGACAGAAAACCTACTGGATAGTAGCTCTCCAGGATCGGAGATGGAGACCCCTGGTTTAGATGGTTCTCCAGAAGGTATCTCCAGGTCTGTTTAGTTGGTTCTCCAGCAGGTATCTCCTAGTCTGTTTAGATGGTTCTCCAGCATGTATCTCAGGGTTTATTTAAATGATTTTCCCGCAATTGTTTCTATCTGTGCTCAATTCCAGAATTCGTAGGGCTGATTTTTTTGTTAGAGATTATTAGAGATTCTTGTCTGGGATGGGAATCTGTCCCCATAAAGTAAACAGACTTGTCATGCATACTGATCACATCAGATCATGGAAAGGTCATGTTCCCCCTGTCGTGCTGGATGTTGATTCCTAGTATAACTTTTGGTGAGGGCATTGACTAACACGAGTGTCCTTGTCAGAGCTAAACTAACAAAAAGATGCACAGCTGGTTGCAGGTTTGAGTGGCGTTTCTGTACTTGATCAGAAGCCACACCGAAGCAGCTTCCAAGCAGTAAACTCACTGTCTGCCAGGTGGAGAGTGAAAGGGCTTGTAGCACTGGCCAACCTGCATCATGGGAGACAGTAATAAACAAGCATACAAGCAAACAAACGGATGGATGGATGGATGGATGGATGGATGGATGGCCCCCACAGGCCTTCCTCTGAGCTCTGTGTGAATAAGGGGGCACATACACTCTGTGCTTCTTAATAGTTCCTGTCATTTTTATCTCCTAAGTCCTCTATATGACAAAAAACAACATTAAAGAAACAAAAATTTGCATAGCTTAACCAGAAAGCCTTTAAGATCTGGATCCAACAGAGTTTCTTTGAGAAGCATTATATGATGCATTAAAGCTTCAGACACACTCATGGTCAGATCTTTGTGAGGTTTCTGTACGGCAGTGAATGCAATGTTCCTTTTCTAAATGCGCCAGTCTGCCGATCGTTCGCAGCAGTCTGCTGAAGTTGATTGAGTCCCTGGAATGTGTCCATCTGCTGATTTTTAATTAAGTTACTCTTCATCAACATCACAATAATCGAGGAGAAAAGCCACAACACCGCGTCGGTTATAATCTGGGTTCACGGCGGCATCTCATCAAACGAGGTGAGCTTCTCAGTTCCGGCGGTGTATTTCCAGCACACGGCTGTGGCGTGATCTCTGTGTGCCTGTGATCTCGCACAAGGGTCTGATAATTAAAGGAACAAGCTCTCTTTACGGGGTCTGTGTGTATGGCCAGGTAGAACCGATTAGGACTTCAACTTCTTGTATTCATTTCCGGAATGGGGATGACCTTAGATGACCCGCTACAATCAAAAGCAGAGAAGGGATTTTTTTCATTGTTTGAGGAAGCACGCTTCACTGATATTTACTGATGTTGACAAGAGGAAATACCATGTGGCACCTGTTGTATTAACATTTCATCATGTGCAGGGCATTGCTGTTTTTCGTATAAATAACAATTATTCATATGCACGGGAGACATCCTTTACAATCTTCAGGTTTTAGCCCAGGGACATGTAGAATCAGGTTTCATTTTGTAAGTTTAATGTGCACATACACAACTTTAAAAGAGAATGTCCAGGCAGCTTGAAGAGAGTTAATTACGCTGAAGGTGACATTAAGATGGAGAGAGGCATCCATTTCAGTCTGACTTACCTGATATTTTCCTAAATGGCAGCACCTAATGATACAGATTCTCCCGTTCCATTCACATGTGTGAAGGATGGCTTATACTCGAATTTGAACCTAGTATATAGCGATGATTTGAAACACATAAGGTGGAGTTAAAATGACATGTAATATTATAAAAGGCAGCCATTGTGAGACATGCTTCACTGTTTTTGATGCTGCGTACCCACATTAAAACTCTTGCATTACAGATCAGTAGCCGAGCTCGTGGGAGTTTTACTTACACAGAAATGTTCTGAGGGCAGAAGGAAAAGTGATGGGTACAGTGAGTTAACCAATCAGATTGTAGACTGATATCTGATTGGTTGGTCTTGCCTCCCCTAGTTGATTATACCCACCTCCTTTACAATCTTATTGGTTATCTCTCTGAACTAATCATTTTTTCATCTGCCCTCAGAATATACTGTATCTGTGTAAGTAAATGTCCCATTAGCAGGAACTGAGGGCCACTTTCACAAAGCTTGTCCTGATCTCACCCTTTAATTAAAGCCCTTGAATTTGGGATTCTGTTTTATTAGCCGGAGCAGCACAACAGAGCAGTCAGGAGGCCATTTGCATCCGTGCTGTTTGTGCCACTCCATGACCCAGGAGTAAGATGCCCTGACCTCTTAGTTACACGCAGACCTGCTCTTCCAAGGACTTTCCGACCTTCAGACGTGTAGCACTCACGCATCACCGCCCGAGATCGGGTGTCTGTGGCTGCCACACCGTGTCCCCAGTCTGACCATGTCTTGTGTATCTAAGGCCCGTACCTACCTAGTGACCTGAAACTAAACCCTGGAATAAAAACTTGGGCACGGGCGAAACTTCAGAACAGCAGAACTCAGATGCACAGGGACAGCTCTGAAAGAAGCCCCCCCCCCCCCCCTGCCACAGACTTGCTGGTTTAATGCCACGAGATTCCAAGGCAAATGTCAGAGGCTGTGTGCGGAGCTGGGCTGGGGGAGAGAGAAACTTGGATAAATATGAGAGTGCGATGGGGTCCGTCCACCCTGTCCATGACACGCCAACTGAGGGAGGGAAATCTTAATCGTTCTATTTTTGCAATGGCAGTCTTGCATAGGGGTGGGGGCAGACGGGTATTTCAGGCATCTGTAGACACTTTTCATTGAGTCCACAGCAGGTTAGATGCAGTAGCACACACTGCATTCAATCAGCTACCTGTTGTTGTTGTTTGTGGTTGTTTTTGGTTGTACAGAGATGCTATAGATCGATGTAGTAGGGGTTTGGGCATTATGCATTCTGTTTTATTTGCAGCCTAGTGGGATTTGTGGTCTTCTATACATGTCGTTGTTATATGTCATTCATAAATGGAGTATATGGATTGGCAAGCCCAGCGTAAATCCATAGCATGATGTTCGCACACTTTTGTTTTATGAAGGCACTGGCGACTCTCGCAAAGGACATTGTTTATGATGCAGTTTTGGCTTTTTATTGCTGGGGATTGTAGATCCGGCATTTGGGGTTAGGGGTATAAAGTCTGTAATGAAACTGGGACCATAGATGCAGCTTCTTTCATATCGGACCGAGCTCCATGATCCTTTTGGAAAACACTTCCCTTCCTGAATCGGTGTTTCATAAGTGATGCCGCATGCAGTGACAGGAGCTGATCCGGACACATGCTCCGTCTCTCCCCGCAGGCATCGTCCGGACCGCCCTCCCCAGCATGGACCGCGAGGCACGGGACCAGTACTTGCTGGTCATCCAAGCGAAGGACATGGTCGGCCAGATGGGCGGGCTCTCGGGGACCACGACCGTCACCGTCACGCTCACTGACGTGAATGACAACCCGCCGCACTTCGCTCGCAGTGAGCCAACGCCTTCTGCTGCACTTTTCATTTCAACTGCTACATGACTCAGCATTCTGGATGGACCAGCAGCATCCGCTGGTTAACCACAACCTGGGTTATCTAGTACTGGTTAACCATAGACCAGTCAAAGTGCCCAGAACAGGCAAACTAAATAACTTAGATCCCGTACATCACGGCAGGCCGCACAAAATCATATTATAAACTAGGAAGTGAAGATGGAATGGGGGGTGGTGAGGAGGTTCCCCCACAATGCATCACTCCCTTTTCGCCCAGCTGACTGATACAGACAGACCAGCCATGGTGGGGTCCCGTCTCCCCAGTGGTTATCATCATCTGACCAGTTGTATCCGTCTCGCCCATCTCACTCGTCATCGTGGTTTCACCCGTCATTGCGTTGTATCTTTTGCAGAATCCTATCAGTTCACCGTGCCAGAGTCGCTGCCGGTTGCCTCTGTAGTGGCCAAGATCAAAGCCACAGACCTTGATGTCGGACCCAATGCTGAAATGGAGTACAGGGTCATAGATGGGGATGGACTGGCTATGTTCAGAGTCACACCGGACAAGGACACACAGGAGGGAGTCATCGCGCTTCAGAGGGTGAGGCAGCCGCTTCATATCACATCTGACATCGTTTCCCTTCGTAAAATTAATGCTTCCTCCTTCTTAACGGTGCAATTTATCCCATCAGTACGTAAATCCATCTTGACTGTGAATTGCCACTTTTCTTTAGTTAACAGAGAGGCAAAAATACATCAAAGATTTTGCTGAGAGTGAAAAATATTCTTACGCAACACATCTCTGAAGGGTTCATTTCCGGAGATGTTAAGCTGATGAAAGTGTCTTCTGCGATCATATGGGCCGCCTGCTAATTATTCCCACAGAAATAAACAAGGTTAATTAACGAAGTCACGTCTTCCATCTTTGACTGGCTGCCAGAGCTATTGACTCTCCTGGCCTGTCTTTATCGTCCTGCTGAAAGCAGCTTGTCACTGTTTTCATAGCTAAATTAGCTAATTATTATTGAGCTGTAAATATATATTAATCATAATGTTCTTGCATTATGGAACTGACTACACTAACTCATCTGAACAAATGGAGTCATAAAAGAATACATCTTCTACAGGTCGCTTGTGGGAATTTCACTTACACAAAAATGTTCTGAGGGCAGAAAGAACAATGATTGGTTCAGAGAGATAACCAATCAGATTGTAGAGGAGGTGGGTCCAAGCAACTAGAGGAGACGGGATCAAGACATCTAATTGATTCGTCCCACCTCCTCTAGTTGCTTGGACCCACCTCTACTACAGTCTGATTGGTTTTCTCTGTGAACCAACCTTTTTTTCCTTCTGCCCTCAGGACATTTTTGTGTAACTCCTACAGGTCCTGTAGCAAATATAGCATTGTGCTAATAATGCCAAGGTTGTGAGCTCAAATCCCACAGGGCACACATAAACTGTAACCCTTCTACTATAAATCACTTTGTATAAAAGCATTAAATAAATTAATCTTGGTTGGCGGGTGTTTTCCTGCAATCGCTGCTGTGCATGCGGGTGGCCATAGAGGGGCACTCTGTGCCAGCCCCCGTCGTCCTGCAGCCCTTATCCTCCTGCGTCCCTGTCACCATGCAGCCACTGGACTTTGAGACAAAGAGCAGCTACACGCTGCGTGTGGAGGCCCTGAACCGGCACGTGGACACTCGCTTCCTCAGCATGGGCTCCTTCAGCGACTCAGCCACTGTGCATGTCAGCGTGGAGGACGTCGACGAGCCGCCCGTCTTCTCCGTGCCACTCAGCACGATGGCCGTGTCCGAGGCCGCCAAGGTGGGCACCATCGTCGGGACGGTCTCAGCCCATGACCCGGATTCATCCAACAGTGCCATCAGGTACCGTCCTACCCAGTACTGCAAGTCTACTGGTCTGTCTATCTCTGTGTCTGTCAGCCTGTCTGTCACTCTGTGCTTGTCTATCTATCTATCTATCTATCTATCTATCTATCTATCTATCTATCTATCTATCTATCGTGTTGATGTCTATCTCTCTGTTTGTGTGTCTCTGTTTATCTATGCTTCTGTTTTCTGGATGCACTGTACACACCCTCTGATTGCTGCTGAGTAAAGAGGGCGTTTAATCTGGAGTGTTACACACGCTGTACACACCCTCTGACTACCACTGTGTAAGAAGGTTTATATCTGCAGTGTTTGACGCACTGTACACTCCCACTGACTGCCTCTGTGTAAAGAGAATGTTGATCTGGAGTGTTCGATGCACTGTACACACCCTCTGACCACCACTGTGTAAAGAAGGTGTTTCTTTGCAGTGTTAGATGCACTGTACACACCCTGCAACTGCCGCTGTGTAAAGAGGGTGTTTATCTGCAGTGGTAGACATACTGCACACACCCTCTGACCAGTGTTGTATAAAGAAGTTGTTTATCTGCAGTGTTAGACACAATTTGGAGATGGGGGTGGGGTGGCGAATTACTTTGAGAGCACTCTTTTTTTTGGGGGGGGGGGGGTGTTACTCATACAACACAATTATAAATGAAGTGATGAAGAATGATAAAACCTCCTACCTACAAGTAATAGAAGACAATACAATGAAACTTTATTAATAAAAGTCTGAATGGTATCTGTGTTTCTGTATCTTTAAAACAAAAGGTTATATTTGAGTTTTATTAAAGAAAAACAGACAAGTGGACATGACTGCATGCCCCCCCCCATTCAGATGCACTGCGCTGCCACAGCTGCCTTCGTGGTGTTCAGGCTGCCATTTTTCACATACTCTGAAGACAGGGCGTAAAGTGGCTCGTGAGGGACTCTGCCGCCCCCTGAACTTTGCTGGCAGACGTGCGTGTATCTCTCTGCAGGACCTCCAAGACGTAAATGGCAGTTTTGTTTAACAAGAAGAGGTTATTCCCATGGAGGATGTAATAGAGGCCTCTTCAGCATTCAGAAGGATATGGCATTTATCTTGTTTTTTCCGTTTTCCTCATGATAGATGGAGTTAATTTAGATAATTTATTTCACCCTAATTTGTTTCTATCTGTCTGAGAAGGACATTCAGCGGATATAAGTCAGACAGACGCACCGTCAAGGCGAGCTAATTGCCTCACCATGTCTGTCAAATCAGAGAGATGCATAACATGTTACCTACAAATGATGAGTGTGTCCTACTATATCGTATTTACTCGTAAGGTGCATATCTGCCGTTGATGTCAATGGGGTCCTCGATGCATAGCTGGGATTTTCCCATCTCACACTGATCCCTCTCTGTCCAGGTATTCCATTGACCGCAACACTGACCTGGAGCGTTTCTTCAACATCGACGCCTTGACTGGGATTATCAGCACAGCCAGGCTGCTGGACAGAGAGGTCAACGCCGTTCACAATCTCACCATCTTCGCCATGGAGAGCCGTGAGTAGATGCACACCGGCCCACAATCCCTTTGGTGAAATGTGTGGGCGTCCTGATTCCGTTTAGCGGTGAATGTGAGCATCACCGGCTCCCAGTACCCCTTTGAAGTGTCACTGGAGCTCTCTCAGAGACCTTAATACCTGAAGCTTTCATGGATATAGCTTCGAAGATGCTCTTCTCCTCATCAGACCCTGCAGAGGTGTCTGGGAGGAGCCTAGCAGCCTGATGAAGCCTCTCCCTGATTGCAAGATTTGTCCCTCCGCTTGCATATGCGGGGGCCACAGTCGCTGGTGCCGTGACCTTCAGCAAAGGCTCCCATCCCTGCAGCATCCTGGCAGGAGGTGGAGGGGACATTGATTTGGATGATGAGGAGCAAAGCAGCTTGTAATTGTTATCTCTGCTGAGACTTCCTCATGTATACACGCCTTGGGCGAACACTGCACGCGGTTCCACTCTATAGATCATTGTCAGAGGTGTCCTGTTGCCCTGAAGGGCATTGTGGGAAAGAAGATTGAAATGTCTTCTCCTATTTATCTTTTAGGCAACAGAGCTCTCAAAGATGCTAAAACACGCCACAAAAGCTACTGCATTGGACTCGCTAAAGTCTCTGAAAGTAATTCACGGTTAGAAAAAAGCACACCATGAATCTACATGGGGTAATGAGAGTGAGTGTTCCTGCAGAGGAGACTGGGCGGTGAATTTAAAAAGCCACGCTTCGATTTAAAGTCTGAAAAGTGAGGAAATTGATCGAAGAGCTTGGACAGCTTATTTCAGGACTTTCATGCCTTAAGTTTTCTTTGGTCTAAGTTGTTCTTCATTAGGAATGTCTCTCCCTCTTTTTGTCTCTCTCTCTTGCTCTCTCTCTCTCTCTCCCTGTCACTCTTTTATCCAGCCTAACAAACATTCTATTTTTCTTTCATAAGATAACACGACGATAAAATCCTTTTCCAGAAGTTAAAAATTTCAGAGGCATTTATTTGAGAAGCATAGCAGAGGACACATTTCTGCGTCTTAAGCTCAGAGCCAGCTTGGGGCCTGGAGGCTGATTTCAGCCTGATCTTTATTTATGGTTGTCTGGCCATCTGGGGGTCTTGGTGAGCCTGCACAGCTTACAGCTGCTCTGCCGTGGGCCCTGCGCTTCTCGCAGGTCATGCCTCTGGCTGGGGCACATCTGTCAACATCTCGTCTGCTATAAGCTACGTCCAGCTTTCGACAGTCATGTTCCTGTCGCACGGCTTGCGGGTGGTGAGATGGGCCCCTCCCCCACCGTGCATCTCCCTTCTTCTGCCTGGATGGAGGGAGAGAGAGAGAGACGGATGTAATTAACTGCCCCATCTCCCCTCCTCACCCTGTTATGTCAGCAGCAGGTATGCAGTACTCACTGGCAGATGTGCGCAGTTTATTTGCAAATGGACCCGCAATCAGTGACAGCCTATCAGGGTAGCAGTGGGCGGCAGACGCTCATGCGCTTCGAACCTGTCAGCGCTGGAAACACCCGTGATAGAGAACAATGCCGCTACAGCGCTTCCGGGGAAGGATCTGCTGGGAAGCCGTGGTCCTTGCAGTGAGAGAGACTCAGGATCTCACTGAGTGCAGAACAAGGTTACTGCTCTGTCAGGGACGTCAGGGTGACAGGGATGCTTAAAGAAAACTGCTACTGGGGTCCCGTGAGCAATCAGGAGGTGGTCCTGGGTTTGAACCCATGGTCCTGAAGCATGATGAAGTGACTCGGTGGAAATGGCCACTTCTGAGGCGTTTTGGCCACTGGTTCAGGCACATGGGTTAACCCTTCATCACCCAACACATCGGGAGGAGGGCGGTCATTTTATTTTGCCCGTGGCAGGTGTGGTATTGCAGCAAATCCAAAGAACAGAAGAAGCAAGCGTACTTGTGTAATGAGTATCTCGGGGTGAGTGTGATGTTAAGGGTCTCCATATGTGTGTGGGTGATCTTGGAGATCAATGTGGGGGGCGACGAGGGAAAAGTGAAGGATAATTGGTTCTGTGATCACGCGGAATGAAAGCTGGGGGGGAAACAGACCCAGAGCTGATATTAGTCACTCCGCCATATATGGCTGGTAACACAGGAAGATGTAAAATACCAGGAACTGAAGAAAAAGAAAAAAAAAGAAAAAGCATTAACATACCTCATACATGGATGGATGGATGAATGGATGGACAAATGAACAGGTAGATGGATGGTTTAACTGTAAATGGGGTAAAACATTTGCCCTGATGAACAGAGTCCTCAATACTCATCCTAGTGGCTGCGCTATATAGTAAGAGCAGTGTAATCATCATGGCTGCTCTCTCTCTCTGTCTCATTGCAGATGATCCCTCGCAAGTGGGAAAGGGGATCGTCCTTATTACTGTAATGGACATTAATGACAATGCTCCCATCTTCGCCATAGACTACGAGACCTTCCTGTGTGAGACGGCCAGGCCTGGACAGGTACTGTGCAGAATCCTCTTGCTGGGCCAATGCGCTCAGCTTGAAGGCAGTGCTGTGGGGTAGTATCTATAGCTCTGTCTGGGGTTTTGATGTTTTATACTCCATTGACCTCTTGCATGAGCAGATGATCGGGGGTGTGGGGGGGGGGTGGGATCTGCATGTGTCCTAGTCATGACCAAATGCAACGTAAACGCCCGACGTGGACCATCCTCCTTAAAAAGCCACAGAGAGGAGTAGTGGCTCCAGCAGGCCAAGCGAGGAGACTTTGGCCAACTTAGCCCTTAATGACCGTAATGCTCATGAAGCTCAAGTAGTTACTAGGAAGTGCTGCAAGGTTCAGCCTGGGCTCAGGGGTCTCCATCTTCTGGAGAACATCTTTGAGGACCCTCTAGGCTATTCTGCACTGAAGTGTGTACTGATGGTAAGTAGCTGTTTTAGTGTTATTTTGGAAGTCTGCCCTTCTGCTTAGTTATCAAGCGCTTTACGGTTATTATTTACATTTGCATTTATTTAGTGTGGTACAAATGGTAATACGTGAGGCCAACTTGTGTACAAGTGCTGCTTGACTGAACATCCCGTGAGTGATCAGTAACAAGTGCAAGGCAGTTTTCGGGACAAGAGCCACACAAAACATGGTTTAGAGCATCTATCATGAGAAATGTCATACAAGTAACACCAAGAGACGCTAGTAAGGAGTAAGCGTACAACAGAAGAAGGGAACATCCAATGATGAAAGTGATCAAGTGAAACCAGTGGAACAATCAACAGAGACAGAGAGCTGGTGAGGGTCAACAGTAGGATGAGGTTGGCTTAGGTCCTCATGAAAGAGCTGGATCTGAGCATGGGTAAACGAGCATCTGCCAATACAGTCTCTGGAAAACTTGCTTTATGCTTCTCAGGTGGAAAGTGGCCTCTGGCCAGTAGACACGAGTAGTAGAAACTTTACAAGCACTGCTTCCGTGTCACTGATTAGCAAGGAGCTGAGTTTTAATAACCTATCATCTTTCAACCTAATTAAGTAGCTACCTTTTCAAGAGACCTCAGCTCTCTGGATCACTGGTGCTTTAATTAATTCCTTTCTGTCCAGGGCCATGAACCTCGGTACCGCTATAGATGGAACTATTCCTACAAGAGTGGATCTATGGTAGAACCCTTTGTCAAAGAGCAGAGCTTATTCCTGCGAGACTCTGCAAATGAGTGACTTTCAGCTGTTCACACTGACTATTGTTGCACACTTGCTTGTATCATGATGTAGATTGGTTGGAAGCATCCCTTTTGTCTTCTGGTCCATCCTCTTGGAGAACTGGAGGGTCATCATGGCAGGATAGAACATGATGACATCTGGCTTCATGGTCAGTGGCCCAGTGACCAGATTCATGGTGTAATATCTTGCCTCTTACTCCATAGTTGGATTTTTTGTTACTTGCGTAGTGGCTTTTGGTAAAAAAAGAAAAACATCAGTCTCACTGTCTGTTAGTCAGTGGCTGTTGTTTGTTGTCAAACAAGTACCTGATATATCTGATGTCCTATTATCCATACTCATCCCAATCTGCTATCCTGCTGAAATTCTGTGATACTAAAACCTGAAATGTCTGATAACTTTGAAGCTGCAGAGATGCCTTCAGACGCAGCCTCCCTGGAAGATGCTGCAGGCCCTCATCTCATGCCATTGAAATCTGAAGGAAACATCTATCTGTTTGTTTATCTGAATGCAGCCACTTTGTCTTCTACCCATAAATCGTTCTCCCCCTTCCACTCCCCTTATAAAACTTTAAAATTGCCTCACCGTCTGATTCTAATTGGATAACAAGGCCAATTCAGAAAAAAAACAAACAGCTTGATTGTGTTACTGATTGAAAAGCTGTGAAGCAGCTGTAAGTGGATTTAAAAAACAATCCACTTGTCCCGTTGGGGCTCTCATCTCTCGAAAAACTGAAAAGAAAAAATAGTGAGTGTAGAACTTTCTGGAAGGACGGTTGCTCGTCCTGGCTATTAGATATATCCTGTTCATGCCCCTCTATCCCAGAGTCATCTTTGTTTTGGTGTTGTGATGCCCAGGAGGCCATCAGGCTATGAAATTAACACAGCATTAAAATTCTCAGGAACTTGGCTCACAGGGGCCACACTCTCATGATTTTGCCCCCTTCCATGAGTGCCCCTCCCCCCCCAGCATCTATCTAAATTACTTTCCAGTCACACTGGCACCCAGTAGATTCAGTTTGCTCTTATGTGATTACTGGTTCCTGTGTGATGAACACTGTAATCAGAGTCTGATGTCAATAAAGCGCAGCCCTGCTGATGACCCGGTGGTGGCGCTGTTGAGATTCTCCCTCCCTACCTTTGATGGCATCTGAGCTGAGCAGAGGTTGAGAGGACCTCACATGGTGATATTATCAATACCATGATGACAAAAGCCGATTCCATAGTAGTTAAGGACCAAATGAATCTACAAGGGACCCCCCAGGGCTGATTCATCAGGAGCGCAACAGATAGAAGCATTAAGGGTAAAACTGCACGCCTAGGAACAGATAACAGCAAGTCACCCCAAAGTTCTCCAAGACGCCAGCTCTTTAAGTTATAGATCAGTTGTTTTTCAACAGGAACTTGCCTTGAAGTTCTGGATTCTAGTTGAACGCCAATCCCAGAGCTGGTGGAAACCATCATCTTGTAATGGGTAGAGCAGCTCCCATCTCACACTGCCATATTATACAGAGGGAATTATTCATGTTTTTTGTCAGCCTTTGTTATTCTTGCATTATTCTTCTGCATAAAGGATGAAAGTGGCACAGATCGGTGATATGAAAAAGTACGGTACAGGAAAAGTTCAGAGACTCGTGAACATCTAACTAGTGAAATGAAAGGGAGCAGATTGGCTGCTTCTGCTGCCTACAGCTATAGCTTTAAAGAAAGCTGAGGATCGCAGACATAGCAGACGACTCTACGATACACGGAAGCGGCAGTTTGGTGAGCAAAGGCCTTTGGGACAGGAGCTCCTTTTGAGGAGTGTTTCAGTGTGTCAACTGCTGGAGTCTGGGCCCTGCTTGGCATCTGGTTCTGGTTTCTCTAGTTTTATTTGGCTTTGTGATCTGGATTGGTTCTGATGTGGATTGCTCTTGAGTACATGGTCTACATTATCTTGCTGCTCGTATCAATTGTCTTATTCTTGGTTATTTTCATGCAGCTTGGCAGTTGAGACCAACCCAGCCTCATGTCATCTGCGTCTCTCATGGTCCACAGCCTCCAAAGGACCTACAGATCATCCTTTAAGGGAGAAATAGTCTAGCAGGCAGATGAGCTGGCACTGCTCATGTTTGTGTGACTGGTGCATCCAGCAGGGGGCACCACTAGAGATTTTGTGCCCTATAAAAGCTTATTTTATTGGGCCTGTAACTCAGACCTATCCAATTATGTTACACATTGCAGTTCATTTTGCAGTTCTGTCCTGTGCCTGTGGCAATGGTTTTGCATTTCCAACCCACGGCAACAAGGCCTCTGTGTTTGGAAGAGTTACGAGTTTCAGACTGGGACCTGTGGCCTGTTAGCTATGAAGCTGACGGTCCAGCCTCCATTAATCAGCTTTAGCCTTGAGTGCTGACCATAGACTGTAGATGTAATGCTTCACCATGCCCTACAGGTACCCCGTTTAAGGGCACAGGTGCAATCTAATTTGCTCCAGTAGTATCTGGGAACCTCCAGCTTCCAAATTTATCTACTCGGCCGAGTGCATTTTGCATGCAAAGTAGCAACAGCACTGCCAGCGAGTCTGTATTGTGACCCAGTGGAAGAACTTCCGGATGATTCCCCAGCATGCAGTGAGTGTGACGCCGCTTGTAATGCTGGCAGAATTAAAGCCTAAGCGAGAAAACTGCTCATATCGGCCGTTTAAAACAAAATAAATCCTACTCATTATTCATACAGGATTTAAGGATTTTAGTCAAGGGGAAAAAGATTCAAAAATCTCCTCCATTCCCTTGCCAAATAATCACTTACTGTAAGTGCGATGGATTAAACTGTTGTTGAATAAATAAGTGGGAAACAAAATATATCGAAACACAAGGTCACATTTCATCTGTGCCTATAAATATATATGTGTGTGTGTATGAGTGTTTGTTTGGTAACTCTTTACATTAACTGCACCTTCATAATGCTTTTATATTGCATTCATGAAACGTTCAGTGCACTTTCATAATGTATTCATAAAACATTCATAAACACCACGTATGTATACCTTAACATCCTAACATCCCTTAACAGATGTAATATACATTAATAAGAAATATTATATAATAATAACAAAATTATTATTGTATAATCATGTAATGTTTGTTATTAATATATATTAAAGCTGTTAATGGATGTTAGGACTTTAAGGTGTACTTGCATGCTGCTTACAAATGTTCTATGAATGCATAATGAAATCATTATGAAGGTGCACTTAATGTAAAGTGTTACTGTTTATTTACACACACACACACACACACACACACACATATACATATATATCAGCAAACTGGTTTACCAGTCCACTGTATAAGCTACTGTATATGCCCATGTGGCACCCTAGCTTTACTGCCCTCCCCAGTATGTTTTGTATATATATATTTTTTGTGTGTGTGTGTGTGTGTGTGTATGTATATATTATATATATATATGTATATATACACACACACACACACACAGAGGAGGAAGTCTGGTTTGCTGGTGTTTCACGTGCCCTCGCCATTTCTCACTAAGAAAGACTGCATGGCAGATTCTGTTTGTGCCAAGACCAGCAGGTGGGTGGCAGCCTGGCGCTCGACGTTTAACCTCAGCGATGCCCTGACATCAGGGTGGCTAGTCTGGCTAGTCTGCATAGACCACCAGCTGATGCTCCACCCCAACAGTCGTCTCTCGAGTCCTTTTAGACCACTAACGTAGCCGGAGGCTGCCTGGTTATTCACGGCAGACTCGGCCATCTCTGATCTCACGCGTCACATTCAGCAGGTGGGAGATGTTTATTTTCACTTGGGTAGTTTGCATGTTGCTTCCTCGGGCGACGGTATTGCAACAGGAAGTTGTATTTCAGAGCCAACAGGATAGGAGGTCTGTTTCACGTTGTGAGAATGTGCTGCTTCTCCTGTTTTGATGTAGTGAAAAACAGGGAAGACCTTTGTTAGGTAAGACCAACATAGACCTTTTAATGAAGCTCCATGTATCAGACTTTGCCTGTAATGGACATGTCTCCCGCTGCCAGGTTCACAAAGAACGGCGTGATTCAGCATCCCTGCTGTGGGGGTGGTTAGAAGCCCAGCCAAGAACCCTGGTTTTTCTCTCTCTCTCTCTCTTCCTCCTCTCTTTCACTGATTCTTCTTGGTCTCGTTCCCAAGCTGAATGGTTTCTCCTTCTACATCTGTTATTCTCAAACACAGCTCCTTAAACAAAAGGATTTTTTCGTGTGCCTGGCCTACACTGTAGCTAGTGAGGAAACACAGATCAGCACGCGGCTCTGCTGGATGCACGTGTTTGCGTCGAGGACGTTAGCAAAGGCAGCTTTCTCCTGACTAATGGTTCTGCTGTCCTCTCTGAGATGGCGTCCAGAGGCTGGCTGCCCTGACCGCCTGTCCTCTCGGCGATGCTGTCCTCCCTGTGTACGAGCAGAGGTTGCGGCTCCAGAGGCTGGCTGCCCATGACGCTCCGTATCCGTGCTCAGCTTGACCGTCTGTCCTCCAGGTCATCCAGACCATCAGCGCGATGGACAGAGACGAGCCTCCAGGTGGCCATCGCTTCTTCTTTGCCCTCAGCCCTGAAGCAGCGAACAACCTCAACTTCACCCTCAGAGACAATAAAGGTCTGTGCTTCCCATACAAGTGAGGTTGATCCATCCTTTCTCTCTATCTCTGACTCTCTCCATCCAATGACTGGGCTCTATTCACTCAACTGAGGCCGCTCTCTGTTTTTCTCATATAGTGCCATTAGCGTTTAAAACCAGAAGCCGTAAACCTCCTAAATGATGGGCATGTTGTGCCCTGATACACACGGGAGGTGGTTTGAAATGATGCCGCATAGATATACCATGGTGGCGCCTGTCATGTGACTGTCGCCCATCTCGTGTCACCCCAGATAACACAGCCTCCATCCTGACGAAGCGCGGAAGCTTCCGGCGCCGAGAGCAGGCCATCTACTGGCTGCCAGTCCTGATCGGTGACAGCGGCACCCCGTCGCTTAGCAGCACCAACACGCTGTCGATCCGCGTGTGTGACTGCGATCCCGATGGCGTCGCCCAGGCCTGTGGCGCCGAGGCCTATACTCTGCCTGCGGGACTCAGCACGGGTGCCCTCGTCGCTATATTGGCCTGCGTCCTCACACTCTTGGGTGAGTCACCGTCGCCCTGTCGCTCGGCTGATCCGATTGGCCGGCACTGCACTGACAGCTTGATTGGATCCTGTGCAAACTCATTAGCTGATTGGTCTCTCCAGGTGACAGCTGATTAGGAACCATTCTTGAAGAGCTCTGTGTAAACACTTCATGGTGTTATTGCATGAGCAGCTTTGATTGGCTGATTGACGGATTAATCGTTTGGCTAATTGATTTATTGAGGGATTGATTCCAAGGCAGTTTATAGCCTGGCCAAATCATTTTTAGCGCGTGGGTCACAGCAAGGTTGAAGCTCTCTGCTTTTAGAGAGTTTGTAAAGTAAGGGGATAGTTGCTAACAAGATTTGTTGTATTTTACTGCACTGACATGCATATCAGACAGTTTAATAATTTGCTTTGCTAGAACATTGCCTAGGAGCCTACAGTATTTTAAATAAGCTTTAATGAATGTTTGTGTAGTGCTTAGAACATAAGAACTTAAGAAGGATTACAAGCAATAGTCAGTCATGCTTGTTTAGATATTTCATATTTCAGATTTAGTACAAATTTTTAGGGAGTAGTGATTTGAATTTATCACAGGATAGTGTCTCTGTTGTGTTCAGCTTGTTCCTAGCCCTGGTAGTCCTCTGTGTAATGAAATGTTTCCATTTGCACCTAGTTTCCATTCCCGCTCTGTGCTGCTGAATCCTTTATAACCGCAAAGAGCTGATGCTGAAAGAGCGGCAAACCTTGCCTAATCTGCTGAATTGCATCCCGACTTCAGAGATTCTTAGGGTTTTTAGCTTGTATCTCCTCACCCATCTTGGCTCAGAAGCTGCAGAGAGTGATCAGTCGTATGCACTTATGGAGGAATATCTCGCTGAGGTGTTTTATTGATCATCATTGATGATCGCCCCCCATGCCTTTTGTCAGGGATACTGGTGTGAGGGGGTCTCTTTTTGAACATGGCTCTTTAAATTTGTCCTGGCAGCCCTAGTTAACTCAGAACCGTCCCCAAGGTCTCCTCAGGCCTCTATAACTGAACCCAGCTGACGATCTTCCCTTAACACTTCTGATTGGGACTCTGTGTCTTTGAGTTATCTCTCCTCTTTGATCACAGCGATGCTGATATGCTGGATCTGTCCTGGGAATTTTGGGCTCTGTGAAAAGAGCAATAAATTTGGTAGCAGGAAGAGGCATTGAACAGCAGTGGAGTGAGGGGGTAAATCATTTCCCCTGCCCCCCATGCCTCTCTGGCTGCCACTGAACTTCCTGCTCTCTCCTCCAACATTTGCTGATGCAGAGACGCCCTTAACACCTTAAACATTATTATTACTAAATCTGTGTGAGGGACCTTGTCTGTAGACCTGATCCTGTGGGAGAATGGGGGCAGGGCGGTCCGCCGTGTGTCCTGATGTGGGGCCCCCTTTCAGTGAAAAGTGGTACTGCGGCCGTGGCGAAGCCCTATGCTCTGCTAGCGTAGCATCGATTCCACGTAATGGATCGTTTTCGCTATTCAATTACAGCAAATTGTAGATAATGTTGCATCGATCCATCTCGCCACCACACATCCGTCTTGTCTTGGGGTGCGGCGCCGCTGCTTAATCACACTGCATGCGAGCGTTCGTGTGTCTGGGTGGGGTTAGCGTGAAGCGTTAAGGGAGCTCATGTGATCAGGCTGTGCTTTACGGCACGTGATGGTGGCAGAGGGTACAAAAGGAAGGGATTTTCCCCCCTCCTTTCAAAAGGGCTGCCTGGTGCATTGTGGGGGGGGGGGGGGGGGCTTATTTGCAGCATTTACAGAGTACTTACCACAAGTAAGGAGAATAAAACAACGTGATTTAACACCCCATCGAGCTCTGCTTTGTACTGACTCCTGTCTGTACAGAAGCAGGTTTAGACACTAATCATCATCCAGACAAGCAGGCCATAGTAATGTTCTTACCTCTAGCACTCATATTTAAAGAGGTGCAGTAAATGTGTCTGTCTGTACATCTGCAGTATTTATAAAGGCTTTCGAATCTCCTGCCATACTGTAAGCGGGGTTTTCTCCCGGAATAGAAGCCGCCACCGTCCTGATTCTGTTTATCTCGGTCGCAGCTGAAAAGCACCAACCCCATCATAACACTCAGAGTTCAAAAACAGCAAAGCGAGCGGCTTCTAATGTGATATATAACACAGATACCACCTGCCCTGCCCGCCTTTGACGTCTCTGTCTCTGTTTTCCTATTGGATCTATTCCTCCCTGAAATTGGGGGGGGAGGGGAGGAGGTCATACTGAACATGTGACCTTCACACATGACCAGGGCCAGTTTCACGTGTAAGAATTCACACCATGTTGGTAACTTCAGCTCACAGTTCTGGTCATCAGGCAGCTGAGCCTCACAAACAAGATCTCTCAGCCGTCGACCTCTGCTAATCAGCACTGCCCCCCCCCCCCAGCCCTGTGCCTCCAACTGCTGTCCCTCCTACCCCTTCTACCTCATCCCACCTGACACTGCTTCCAGCTGATGCCTCTCCCAACAACCCATCTCTCACTAACTAACTCCCCTTTCCATTCCCCCTTCCGGCTAACTGACACCCCACCCGGCTAACTGACACCCCCCACCCTGGCTAACCGGCACCCCACCCGGCTAACTGACACCCCACCCGGCTAACTGACACCCCCCACCCTGGCTAACCGGCACCCCACCCGGCTAACTGACACCCCACCCAGCTAACCAACGCCTTTCCAGATGCCCCTTCTGGCTAACTGACGCCCCACTTGGCTAACCGATTCCCCCCCAAAATACCCTCCTGTCTAACCAACATCCTTTCTGACACACCTCCTGATGCCCCTCCCAGCTTACCAACGATGCCCCTACAGACGCCCTACCTAACGCACCCCTCTCTTCCGCACCCGCAGTGCTCGTGCTGCTCATCGTGACAATGCGGCGCAGGAGGAAGGAGCCACTCATCCTGGACGAGGAGCGCGACGTGCGGGAGAACATCGTCCGCTACGACGACGAAGGTGGCGGCGAGGAGGATACCGAGGCCTTCGACATGGTGGCCCTGCGCAACCTGAACGCCGCCCGCGAGCATGCCACGCGCCGGGACGTCACCCCCGACGCACCCATCTTCTTTTCATCCCGCCCGCCGCCTTATAAAGCCGTACACGACAACGGAATATTCCGGGAGTTTATATGGGACCGGCTGAAGGAGGCCGACGTGGACCCCTCGGCGCCCCCTTATGACTCCCTGCAGACGTATGCCTTCGAGGGAAGCGGCTCTGTGGCCGAGTCGCTCAGCTCACTGGAGTCCCTGAGCTCCGACTCCGAGCAGAACTACGACTATCTGAGCGACTGGGGCCCGCGCTTCAAGAAGCTGGCCGATATGTATGGGCACAGCGAGATGGGCGACAGGTTCTTATAGCCGAGAAAAAATGCGTGGAAAAAGTGTGAGGAAAAAAACACACGGCTAAATGACATTGGGAACGAGGAAGAGGCAGTACCGTTACTGGTATGAATCAGTGGGAAAATACGTTGCTTTCAAAGGTTTTGTGTGTCGCATTTCTGAATAGGATTAAAGTTTTGGATTTTTGATCACGGAGAGCTTAAGTACTGGCTGTGGAGGGGTGCGGCACTGGGGGAAGTGTCTCCTTGCTGCTGGGCCCCTGCCACATCAGCCTGGCCCTCAGACACTGAGCCCAGCACCTGGGCTCCTGGGGGTGTCCTCAATACTCAGTCTGAGCTGCTGAGTTGGTGTCTCCTTGATTGGATCTCGATCAGTATCAGTGTCTATTGTTTTTTCCTGGATCTGTTCTGGAATCCCGCACAGCATGGATTGTAAGCTATAGGGTCCAATGGGTGACAGACTGTTATGACAGAAGCAGGCCTTTGGGGGGCGTTTGGTGGACTTTTGAGGAATCTTCAGATGGTCCTAAGCTGCGAGACGACGAACAGTGTGGAAACGGCCCATTTCATGAGCGTCTCTGCCAGCTTTGCTGCTGGAGATTGCCTGGCGCCATGTGAGATGTGTGTCTTCATGAACGCTGAGACAGTCCCCCCCCCCCCCAGGCCCCCCGGGCGGTTTTGAGAAGGGGGCCCCCCTTTTTTTTTTTTTTTAAATCAAAGCCTTTATCCCTCTCGTCCTCTAATTCATTATAAGAGAGTTACTCAGAGCAGGCAGTAGATAATCATGGAAAGTCAGGAGCAAACAGCCATGCACCTTAGTGATCATAGATCGAATTGAAGGGTGTGGATTTCTGCCCTGTGAACCTATTTGCCCAGTTTTATTGATGAATCTGTGTACAGATCTCACAAGAGGGGGAAAAAAACCTCAACCACACTGGATAATAAACTTCATTGTTTCTGGAAAAAAAGCAGAAAAGGTTTTGTTGAAGAAAATGTTATTTTTTAGGGGGAAAAAACACGTGGAATTCATAACTCCATATGTATACACACACCATATATATATAGTGGTACCTCAGAACTCAAATTTAATCCGTTCAGAACTCCGGATCGAATCCTAAAAAGTTTGAGTTGTGATCGAATTTTCCCCATAAGAAATAATGGAAAACCAATTAATTGGTTCCCGGCCCCAAAAAATTACATCTAAATATGTTTTTTTTTTTTTAGCATTTAAACACAAAATGAACTGGATAAAACAAGAAGAACATATACTGTACTAAACACATCCTAAAACAGTGGCAAAACAGTGATTTGTAAAGTAAGAAAATAAATGTATCCAAACAATGTGTAAAGTTAAAAAAAACAATGTGTCCTGCCCTGATCGTCCGCTCCTTCTGTGTGCCACACCCCCTCGTTAACCCCGTGTGGAATCCCCGTGTGATCAGCTTTCTGGTTGTTGTCATTAGTCCTCTGTATTTCGTCCGCGTTTCAGTTTGTTTCCCCAGCCCGGTCGTTGTATTGTCCGTCTGCGTTTTGTCTGCCTTACCTGTAATTAAACCCCATATTCCCCGATACCCTGACATCTGCACCTTTGTCTCCGTTCCGTCCCCATTCGGCACGACAATATTATTATAATTAAATGTATTAATGGTTTATTATTAATATTAAAATAATTAATAATAAATATTTATTTTTACATGTATTTTATTATATAATAATAATTACTATTACTGTCCATCATTGACTAAATGTATGTTTACTGTATAAATATACGTATTGAATTAGTGTAAACATACACGATGCTATCACAGCGAATGCGAGGCTGAGACCGAAGCATTACCCTTTGTATCCGCTAAGAGACGTGCCGCGTGACTCATTTCTCCGCGCATACAAGTTATCTTAGGTCGGTGTTCACAGTTTGACTTCTGAGATTTAGATCGAGTTCTAGGTAATTTTTTTCCAACTGGTTGGATCGACTTTTAAGAAATTCGAGTTCTAATGAGTTCAAGAACTGAGGTACCACTGTATATACACACATGGTATATATACACACACGGGATATATGCACACAGTTTGCAGCACACACAGATATGCAGCATCTGCTTCTTTCTGTACTGGATTCTTAGTAGTTTGCACATCTCCCGGGCAATGCATCTCCAAGTAAGTGGGGGGGCTCACTGTCTGTCCATCTGTCCATTTCTCACCTCAAAATGAGGGTCTCACATGTCACAGTCTGCAGACACATCTCCCCCCCCCACCACCATTGGTCTAAATGACCATAGTGAATCACTCAGCATTTTTTGGAGAAGGATGAGACCCTTGTCTTATTTCATGCTCTTCTCTCTCTCTCTCTCTATCTCTGTCACACACACGCACACACACACACACTCTGACACACTCACACCATCCAAGAGGCTTCCTCTATGAATATTAATTTAGAGAAGCAAACACCATATGCTCATTTCAATGTAAATTTACATTCTGCATTGTACAGTAAAATATGACTATGGAACGAGGTCCGCTTTCGTTTTATACTTTTATTTGACATTATGAATAACATAGAAGACACACAGTGCTGATGTCAGGCCTGCTTTTGTTTTTTGAATACCTGCAGTGAGGCTGGTGTGTGATACACAGTGCAGGGGGCGTAGCGGTGGTCACTCGGAGAAGCTCTCTGTCATCTCATGGTGGGGGGGTGGGGGGTTTTCTTGCTGCTGTCTGCTCCTGTGTAGGGGCAGATATAGTGACGGCCGCCTGGTCCACCATGGGCTCACCCTTCTGGTCATGACTGAAGTCCACTGTCCACTGTATGGAGACCATTGCAGTGTCGTCACGGTTACGTAACTGCACCGGGCATTAGCTCCCCTGTTACATATCTGTACATACCGGATCTCTCAGCACCCTCAGTTGTCTGCTGGCGCGTGAATCAAGACATGTCAAAATATTTTGCCAAATGCAGCCTTCGTTTCCGTCTCAGAGGCGTAAATGTCACCCCATTAGCGGCCTGCTATCTTAATTACCTCGGATAATCGTTTCATACACTGGCTGCAATGAGTGGATCGCGAGGACTGAGAATGATGAAGGCTAGCGGAGAGTGACTGCCGTCATAAGACACGCCTAATTATTTGTTAACTGGTTAGCTGAACGAAATCTAAAAGGGCAAATCGCAAATCTCATTCACCTTGACACTGAGTCCTAATAAAGAGTGTTTTAATTTAATGGGAATTGGCTTGGTTGGGCTGACACGCCAAGCTTGAGAAGGGGAAGCGTGCACGTCACTCACATAGTGAGTAGTGAGAACGTGTCTCACCCCGGGAAAATACCACTGAAACAGGACACGGGGGGGGGCGTCATATTCAGCAAACATTCATTATTTGCAATTAGCAGAAAGTAATAAACTGAGAATTTGTTGATTCCGTTCTTTAATTGCACTGGTAAGATTTTGGAGGCTCAGAGAGCCGCATGGGGGGCGTCTGCTCTATAGCCAAATGGAGAATCGCCACGGACTGACCAAGCCCTCCGTCAGCGCAGTGGCGAGAGAAATTTCAATCCAAAGGTTCGTCGTCCATCGACCCGTAAACCCTCTTCCTGCCCGGGGCGTACCTAGAAATTTTGAGCTGCCTGACAAAATGTCAACTTGGGTCCCTCCATCCAAGTTTATGTTTATTTTTACGTATCCAAGGTCCCCTGTCAAACGTTGGGCCCCCTGAATCTAGCTGGGTATCCAGGCTCCACTGGCACCCCTGGTCTCTGAGAGAAACATGGATGGTAAATAACATAGATGCTCAGTGTGGAGTGGGAAGATCCATGGTGTCGGGATGGATGCAGCCCAGTTAGCTTGGGAAGGGGATTAGCATCCTGGGAAAAGGATTAGCATCCTGCTAACTGGGAGTCTTGCGCACTCGCTGTGTGGTTTCAGACGGCGTTGGTGACGGTCTGTCAGCATCCTGCGGTTTCGCTGGAGTCCACAGCCTTCTGCAATCCCCCGTGACACATCAGGACAAATTATACCGAGCAGCTTTGACAGCAAGATGCATAAACAGGTCCATCCTCACGAGGTAAATGCTTATGCAGCTCCGCAGCTTGTGTGACCGGACTCCTCACTTTCTCTCTGGTGTCGTTGTAGCATGTTTGCCATGGTCATTCCTGTAAAGTCACCCCGCAGGACAACACGTTCCTCTTTCCGGAAGGCGTTCCATAAACAGCCGCTTTACGCTCCAGTGAGAGAGTTCCCAAATCCAAGTGACCTTCCAAGTTCAGAGTTAAATGCCTGGATACACACCAACTCTGCATAGTCTGGTCGACAATCACACTTTTCTTTCACAGCTTTCTCTGTTCCTTTGTACATAAAAATGTTCTCTCTTGCTTTTGTACTGGAAAATTTCAGAACTGATCTTAACTTTGAGTCGTGTATAATTTTCAATAAAGACATGAAATGGTTTCAATCTGAAATGCGTACCATCTTTTATATGTTTATCTGTGTTTGCTTAAAATGTTCCCACGAATACGAGCAGGTTTTTTTTTTTTTTCTCGGAGTCCCAGGTGTCGAGCAGTTTCCCTTAATAACTTAAATTACGAACAGCGGGCAGCTCATATCATCTCCAGAGAGGCATTTATTGATTTGACCTCTCAGAACTCAAGAGACTGTCAATCAAGCCATTGTTAACCAGGCAAAGAAATTCTATTATTTCCTCTGTGATGGTGGTAGAGCAGAGTGACAGAAAGACAGGCCTCTCGTGACATGACAAAGACAGGCCTCCCGTGACATGACAAAGACAGGCCTGACAAACGACAGTGGATCTGCAGTGACTAAACAGCAGAGTAGCACTATGGTTATGGATGTGGTGTTGATCCTGATTATGCTTCTTTGAGGGCTCATTCTGTCCTCCACTTTGGGCTGGAGCAGTGACACAGTGTTGTGGCCTCACAGTCTGTTGTAGCAGGCCCATAGCCATATAGAAACCCCTCAACCCCCCAAAGAAAACATCCTTGCTCCCAATGATCAGATCTGGCAGTAAAATTACTAGTTTGAAGTCCTCTTGAAATACACTTAAGTCCCCCGGGTTGGCGAGAGTTTATCTCACCCCGGTTGCCAATCTACCAAGAGGGCCCCTCCATAAATTTATTTTACTCCTGCGCCATTTCCGCGTCTACCATCTGCGTGTTCTCCTGTGTCTCTGTGGGTTTCCCCTGGACACCCTACTGCCATCCCATAGTCCAACAAACATACCATAGAACTTTCTATTCTTTCGATTCTGGAGACCTGCTAATTTATCACAGTATATTTTCACGTGTAATTCTTGACGAGAGCTATGAAATTGGTTCCTGGTGCTATTGACGCCTACATTTCTGCGAGTTGTTTTAAGCCAAGCGAGAAGCCTGATGCCATGACTCACCCTGTGGATACAGGCCTGTCCTGATTTTCCACCCAAGGAGAAAGGGATTAAAATTCCTAAACAAAAAAAGAAACAAATAGCAAAAAGTCACTGCTCCTGTGTTTCTGTTTGTCCTCAAAATATTTGGCAATGTATAAAGGGCAGAACTGTGAGCCGGGATGCTGACATCAGGATTCATTATGAGCACTGAACAGGAAAAATAAAATAAAGCATGATCCATGTTTGCCTAAAGCATATTATAAATTCTGGAAATCTAGTGCAAAACTTTAAGC